GGTAGCATCCAGCTTTCTGAATTTGTGAAAAGACATTCAAATCAACTTTTGTAGATGGAGAGGAAGACCTCCTATTCGCTATGAAGTCTTTGATCTGCCATCAACATTAAAAGTTATGAATCAAACATCGAACGCATTAATGACATTTGTAACTACTAAACATGTGTGTGTGTTGCTGTCGTCGTTGTTATAAGTAAGTTAACTAATTTATTTAAACAATTCATTGAAACAAATTAAATAAATTCCAGAAAAAATATTTCCAAATATAAAAAGTAAGTAAACAAACCAGGTCACTTTCAAGGAAATTTAAATAGCTGGATAAAACATTTTTGTTGGCAAATTTGGATGATTTGATGCATTTTAATTTTCTGCCATAAACTGGCCTCATCCTTCCCAACTCAATGCTCAAAGTTACGTACTGTTGAATAAAATCAGTCATACAAATTTTATTAAAATGTAACAATGAAATAAAAATATTAGTTAATGAAATAATTTAAACGGAATACCTGAGACGAGATACAAATCTCCAACTGATCTGCATCAAATGCTTCCACAGATGACAACCTTTCGAGGAGACCACATTCAAGCTTAGCTCTTCGTTCCAATAATGTACCCTGGTGTCGAAACTTAGAGCCACTTTCTACATTGAGGTGCTTCTTGGGAGCATATGGCTGGAACAATTTGAAACATGCAGTTTGTATACTCCATTGAATGAAATGCTTGATGCTAGAATAAATTTTAAAAGTTGGCTAACAGAATGTTTTTTTTTGGCAAGAAACTGAGAGGAGTTGATGCTGTGCAGACTACAAAGATTACGATACCATGCTAAGAAACCATTTTGAATGGACTGAATCATTTTATCACCATCATCAACTTCCTCTGCATTTTCTTTTTTAGATGCCTTCTTAGAAAAAGACTTGAGATTGTTAGTGATGGTTGAATGTTGCCACTCTGCAAACTTCCTGCAACAGTCGATGTGTTCATTGAGGAACGAGCTGTTAACGGCATTCACTGAAAACAACTGAGTGTTTTCTAAATATCTACCAGTCTCTGTTGATTTATTTTTTCAAATTAGAAAAATTAAATCCATAGATAAATTGAGTAACTTGTTTAAACATTGTTCATTCAGCTTATTAATAAACAGCAACGTCTTTTAACAATAAATGTTTCAATCACTTATTTCACGTTTGAGTTTCTCTAAAAAGTCAAGAGAAATTCCTAAGAAATCACTGCAGATGACATAAAGTTCTGAATTGCCTGGCTTGCTAGTAACTGGTTTGTGTATGCTCAACTGCACAATTTACAAAGGGTTGTTTGTTAATTGACAACAGGAATATATAACAGTTAGAGAAACCTGTTTGAAAAGTACTGAGAGCAGGTACATGAAACAGACACTTGTACTTTCAAACAGCGTAAAAGTCTTCAAAACCATGCAGCCACCTACACACAGCAAACTTATTCCTGATATTATTTCACACAAGTGCAGTCTGTACACAATCGATTCCTGATCTCCCGGATTATTGGCACAGTCAATGCTGCCGTCACATGTTACCTAATTAAAAGTTACATTCAGTTCAAATAGTTCTTTGTAAAAATAATTATAAACTGGAGAAATTATTATTACAAATCACTCACAAGATGTATATCATTCATATCGTTCTCTATGCAAACTCTTTTGAAATGTTCAATGTTATCAACAGATGTTATATCGCCGGTGTCATCCAGACCAAAGCACCAATTTTCAATAGTTCCTTGAATGAAATCATCAACATCAATCATGGAATACAAATCATTTTCTTCATACATGGGGTTCAATGTGTTGGCTTTCCATTTCCACCTACCTTTGTAATCTTTTTGTTTCATTGAAAAATGTATAAAAAGAGTTAATGGATAGTGATTAATTTATCTAAACTTCAGAATGGTTATAGTATATATTATATAAGTAACTAGATAAAAAAACAAAAATACTAAAACACTTTTATATATATATATATATGTTGGTAATAGACCATAATTTTTACAATATTCTATAAATTCTACCGAATGTTTGGCGTTAATATGTTTGTAGTTCGTTTTTCCGATTTTTCTCACTAATGCTTTTTCCAGCATGAATTCAGAAAATAAGTTTATTTTGAATTTTAATAAACTAAACGTTCTCCAAAAAACTTTAATGAGAAAACTCAAAAAAACGAACTACAAATTATATATATAGATATATATCAGTGTTTGAAATTTAAATTATCCAATTAATAACTAAATTAATCAACTCTTTGTTTTTGAAATTAAATTAAAAACTGATATAATTTATTATTTTATTAAAATTTAAATCATTAAATTTTATCTTACTTCTGCTGACTAAATAGTGATTGAGAGAGGCAACAAATGCCCCAGGAGCCTCACAGAGATGGAATGAATTAAAATTTTCACATTCTAACTTCACAAGATGTGGGAATGAACATAAAATTTCATGAAACTTGCACCATGCCTGGGTACACAACTCGCATTTCACGTTCCCCTTCACAAACGGTACAATTTTTGCGCCTTTGTGCATTTCCTGAGTGTGACAGTGCCATACCTTTATGTCGATTGTGCTTAAATTATTCTTGGCTTCATTTAAGAATCGTTTAATTTCTTGCAGCTGATTGACATCCCAAGCTGGTTGACAATTCAATTGAAGGTTTGGAAGATTTTCATCTGTTTGATTAGTGTAATAAAACTTTCGGTCAAAGTAGCCAGCAATAATTTGTTTGACATCATCCTCAAGGTCGAGGATGTCGTCTGTCAGGCATTCATTTGACGGTTCACGCGACTGGTCCTCCTCCTTTCGCTTCTTTCGTCTTCCCATGTCAGCATTAACTTCACTTTTAAACTATCTGACCAAAGAGTTACTAGGTATACTATCGACCAATTTGAAAGCACAGATGAATGAAATAAACAGCCTTTTTGAAACTATTACCCTAATCCCAAGCATACAACCAAGTGATAAAAAATTTCAAAATTAAATAGAAAATTCCAAGTTAAATTAAATAGATTAAAAGCCGTGCACACAAAATTACACAATGGATTCTGGAGAGACTTCCAATTTGTGATCAATGTAAAACATGATATAAAACTAGATTGTCAAATTATCGATTCGACACATTTTAAGAGATTGCAGAAATCATAATCAATACAGATATAATACACTGTACCGAATAACTCATCAGATATTTGTACGAGACAATACGGGTGGACGTCCGTTCTCGAATCAACCAAAAAATTAATTTATCAACAACCAATAAATTCACTCAGTTTCATAAACACTTTTTCAAGTTATAAAGCAATTGCAAAACGTACTCTAGTCATGATAAACGAATATTTCAAAACAAGTTTATGGGATGGACATCAATGAAAGATGAATCCGGAAGTCGCTAACTGCCAATGAATGGCATGCCTGAGATGATGTAAGGTCGTGCTGCGGTCAGGCATGATGTCAGTCAAGTGACCTAGGCAATTATATATCCACGCTGGAGAAAGACCAGCAACTTTCTATCCGATTACGGCAAAAATAACTTGTCAGCAGAAGATAGGATATTTCAGTCACACACCTGAAAAAATAATTTGATAAATTAACGATTTAAAAAGTTTAATTACAATGTTACAACAATAACATACACAATCTGACACGTAAAACAAGTAAGCGAACAGATAAACCGCATGTACCGTTTGTGGCAAACGACTTCCGAACGTCATCTTTTTGTTGAAGTTATCCGTTTAGTTCGATTGCGATCATTGTGCCGACGACGCAAACATAAGATAATGAGTTGACGAATTGATGGTGACTCATTCGACGATTTCAAATACGCGAATCTTCTCCGGCTACGATAGCTGCTCTAAAATAAATTCTAGTGAGCGAATGTTGTGCATCATGGTAACAATCGGTTATGATTCCAAAGTGGCAGACGACCAGCAGTGACGACAGCGATAGCAAATGAATCAACCCATAAAAATGACTTGTTAAAACGTTTACAAATAATTCGTTTGGAAATGCGATTTTCAAATTTTAAAAACAATTTAGGTTGGTCCAATCATATTATCTAAAGATTCATGATGAAAATTTCTTATCTTAAAATTTATAATCAAACTTGCTGCAATGCTAAAACGTCGCAAACGCGCAGTCAAGCACACGCTTATGCTGTCAAAATGCGACACGCAAAAGTAACTGTTAAATGAAAATTGTATGTATATATACATATATATATATATATACAAATATATACATATATATATATACATATATATATTTTGGGTTTAGAGTATTTATATATATATATATATATATATATATTCTAAACATTCAAACACATTCACTAGCGACAATTTCTTTCGCCAGATCAATAATAATACAAACAAGTATACGTAGATGCGTACATCCACAGGTATGGTATAAATATATATAAATAACAATCTTTGAGGAGCGGCGACACGGTGATGTGGCGCGTTATTCAAACGACATATACGAAGGAACGGGCGGGTGGTTGATGTTAGCAGCGCCCTGCATGCGGTTCGGGTACATAGCCATGCGAGGATTACCTGGCATACGTTGTTGCTGCTGAGGCGGCTGCTGCTGCTGCTGAGATCCTCCTCTTGAATAACCAGGCATTGGCACATTCGGGTACGTCACCGGCATCGAATCCATTCCAGAGGTCATGTCCTCCGACCTTAAATTCATTGTTGTAAGTTTTATTTATATTATTGAAAAAAAAAATCAGTAGAGTGTAAAAGCGAGCTTATATAATTATTATAAATGCTTGTTATGCTACCTTAAAAAAAAACCAAAAAAAAAAATGAATAGCCAATTAAGCCCAAATGATTAATAGTATTGAAATATACAATATACAGAGAGAAAAAGTTGGTTCATTCATTAAAGACATAGTATCACAACACTGCAACATCAAAAATTACCCACAAGAGAAAATAATTTGAAACCTACTTTTTTTCGTAGTACTCCCTGGGTGGCCTATAATAAGGATCGGATGTTGCATCGTTGTTTTCCTCGCTGGTCAGATTCAAGGACTGCTGAACAAGAGGGTCTCGGGCATATCTGTCGAAAGCAGCAGGGTTCTTCAAATACAAATCCAGCAGCTCCCTAGCAAAACTGTCCCCAGAAGAATTGTCTCGAGTATTGTTGACAGGAGTCCTAGGAAGACTTTGATTGTACATTGAATGACCTCCCCCAGCACCTGAGTAATTGTCCATCGGAGGCATTCGTCTGGAGTTTGACTGGTTCTTGTAAGGGTCAAATCTCATGTTGTTCTGGGACCCCATTCCACCACCTCCCCCTCTTCCACCACTTCTTCCTCCTCTGCCACCTCTTCCACCACGTCCACCTCTGAAGTTGTCATTTCTCCCAGTATTGTACTCATAATCATCACTGTTGAGTGTATTTTGTATTTAATGCAATATTTAATATAATTTTAAAATGGAAATTAAAAATACATTTATGAGATATTGAAAATAAATAAGAAATTTTACGTACTACTGATCTTCATCACCACCTCCCTTGCTTCTGCCTTGAGTTGAATTGGTCGACAGCTATAACAAAATTGACATTTAAAAATGCTTTAGTGAAACTATATCAATAAATTTTTGCATTTTAAAGACAAATTTTTTTAAGTTATTACAAAACACTTGAAATGATTTAACAGAGTTTTTAAATGTTAACAATTGTTGAAATGATAATCAAGATCACACCTCTATGTTCAGTCTATTTCCATTGAGAAGATAACCTTTGAGTAATTTGATGGCTTTCAGAGCATCACCCTGATTTTTCATGTGCTTTAGAGAACATTTATTAAATTATAAAAAATTAAAATGGTTTAAAAAGTTATTCGATTTACATTTAATGAAATGTTATATAAAATTTTAATTAGCATGATGTTAACTAGATCAAATAATCAACAAATTATTATCAAATATTAAAGTATTTGAAAGTGATTTTAATGAAATTATATAATACAAGCACAAGAACTGACTACAAATCCAAAGCCTCCGCAGACATCTGCCTCAGCAACATCTCCATATGTCTCAAACAACGACCTCAACTCATCATCTGTAGTACCTGCCTTGATGTTGCCAATGAAAATTTTTGTAAGGCCTGTCCTGTCTGGGATCCTGAAACAAATTATCCAGTATTATTATTATTGTTTGTTTTTCATGTTAAAACTTTTTTCTTTTTAAAACGAATATCTCAACACAAACCTTCCTCCAGATTTTTTGTTACTCATACCTGATTTAGCTAGCTGAAAAGAAAATTTTTTTTAATTCAAAATTAAACTTTGTTGAAAAAGTGTTTGATAATAAATCAAATTGAAAAACAAGAAAATAATACCTCCACGCTTAATTGTTGGCCATTGAATGTAAAACCATTGAGATCTGCTATGGCTGCATCAGCTTCTTCTTGCGTAGACATGTGCTAACAAATGGAGATGATAACAATTTTGAATTAAATTATTAAATAAGTTATAGAATTGAAACAGAAAAAATCATACTGTACTACTAGGTACTACATATAGTTCTAAGATATGATGTTGATAGAATGTTAATAAAATTTAATTTCTTGAAGATTCTTAAATCTTAAGTTAAACTGTCAATGGAGATTTTTAAATAAAATCTAAACCAGAAATTTGTCAATAAAATACGTAAAAAATAAAAATACTACTTTAATTTCACTCTCTCAGTATATTATAAATACAAATAAGCAAGTACTTATGCAACTACTATTACTATTTTTATTTGATTACTAAGTATATTAAGGTGGTAGCCCAGAAGGTAGTGCTCAAAATAATTAACATAGAATACTTACGACGAACGCGTAATTATTCATGACTGAACATTCGATAACTACGCCGTACTGAGAAAACATTTCCTCTAATACTTCTTTTTGGGACCCAGGAGTAACGTGTCCGACGAACAATTTAACAGACATTTTCGACAAAAATAGTCGTAAACTTTAAAGTTTAAAGCGAACAACTAAGTAAATATTCTGACACCTTCTAAAAATCGATCAACAAATGTTTCAAATTAATACAATAAAAACAAAATTAAGCTAATATGTGAAACTAGCATACATAACACCCGATCGAATGAAGACAAAACAAACGAGAATGGCGGACACTAGCCAAAGACATCAAATAGACTGATAAGATTTTACATTTGTGACATTGTTGGCTTTTTACGAACACATTACTTAAGTGCATTGAAATCAAGCAACAATTTATTGAAAACTCTCTCACAGTTTAGTACAGAGAAGATATTGAAATATAAATTACAACATATAACATTTTAACATATAATTGCTATAACATATAATAATGAGATATAATATGAGGTAAAATATAGCTTGTATTATCATTAGAAAAGATTGCAGTAAGCTTATGCAACTTTAAAATTTTTAATAAATTGATTAGACTATGTTGAATGGAGTGGTTGAAATGAACTTATATAATAGCAGCAAGACAAGAGATGGTACGATACGAATGAAAAATTAACCGAATGATATCATTTTCATTGCTTAATTTTGATTGATATCATCTTTTTATTGTGATTAAGTATTTAACATGTTTATCAATTGACACAAATTCATCAAAAAAATCCCATTAAAACACTTTCATGCACGATCAAACGCTAAATATTCGTTTTGTAAATATAACTTTAGTATGAAGAAGTCAATGAGAAAGACAACAACACAATGTCAAATAATTAATTAAATAAAAATAAATAAAACTATTCAAAATATTCAGCGTACTTTTATAATGTTAATCGTTAAATCCATGATACCTAATCCAGTTCAAACAGTTACCAAAGAAGTTGCATGCATGTACTTGAAAATAAGCTCTTTGAATTGAAATCAAACATAATCACAAAAAGGACGATGTGTGTGCGTGCGTACGAGCGTGTGTGTGTGTGGTGCGTTTGTGTGTGTTTGTGAGTGCGTGCATCTAAATGACAATATTTTTTCATATTAGACAATATTGTAGAAAATAATTAATTGATCGTGCCAACAGCCTTGTTGATATAACATAATTCTTCAACCAGCAGCCAACTTAAAAATTTGAATTACTAACTTTTGTTTAGATTATCATGAAGAAATGCCGTCTTATTTTTAAAGAAATCCAACAAACAGTTTACTGATAAGTGTAACATTTTAATTTGCAATGCACTACGGTGTACAATAAATAAAATCCTTTCAGCTCGGCTTAATTGAGAACCAAGGAACAACGTTTTTTCCATGTTTCAACACTTTTAGAGATTAAGGTTGTATAGGCATCATAGAACCGGACTGTATAAATTTCCATTTAACATTTGTACGTACATGTATATAACCATAAATAGTATGTGCGCCATATATTATGATTATTATTGTGTAAATACTAAAAAAATGGCTTAAAACTTATATACCTACGTCAAAAACCAATGATATGTTGACCTGTTGAGTCGTCGGTAAAAGAGAGAACTAGTTTGAAAAAAGGCAAAATCGAAAATGCTGACATTAAGTGTTTAAAAGTTACAAAAGAAGTTTGTATTAGAATAATTTTTTATAAACAATGTAAACACCAAATAATAAATGGTCAATTAATAAATGCTTATCTGTTTGTAAAGTTGTAATCTATACGTCTGTAAGATTGACACACGTTTCACAATTTATACATGAACATTTCTCTATAATTTATTATTTTATTTATTATATTATTTTAACAAACAAAAGAAAAAAAAACCTAAATTTTTATGTTATGTATATATATAAACACACACGCATAAACATGCATGCGCACACACAATATCTATCCAATTGAATTACATATATATCTGTCGTATCCATATAGATGTATATCATATAATATATCCATGATATATCAATATATCGTACGAATGGAAAGTTGAATGGAATGTATAGAACAAACCTCGCTGATGAATGATATCTGAACCTCAGTGGTTGCGTATAAATAGGATCAATACGCTGCAATCTTTAATAGTTTACGTGCCGGTAGATCGCTTTCTGACCATTTTATATAGCCAATATTGGATATTTTATTATTCACAACTTGACATTAAAAGTTTTATTTATTTATTTAAAACTCTGAAAAATATTTTAATTAGCAAGCAATTAATAAGTAAAAATTTGTTAGTAAACATTCAATCTACTCGCTAAAATTTTCATTTAGAATGGGATAACTTGTAATTTTTAAATATACAGTTTAACATACAACGTAGGCTATACATGTTTGCTTCAAATTTAAAATAATTTGTTTTTTTCATTCAATGATTTCATTTCAACTGAATTGACGCTTGTGAGGTTTGACATCACATCAGCTAACGTCATAAGATGCGATGATTCCCTATATTATGAGCCTCAAGATCTCCTCCATTTCAACGAAGTTTCACGTCGTCCTCATATTTATCATCTTTCTGTCACGTGTCTCAGACGCCTCAAATGACGTCGACGAAAACAATCCGTGTTACAATAGTGAAGGTGTTGCCATAAATTGCCAACCGGAGTTCGTCAACGCTGCATTCGGAAAATCGGTCCAGGCAACGAGTACATGCGGTTCACCGGCACACGAGTTTTGTGCGGTCGGTATGCCAGCCAACAACAATTTTCATAGCAACAACAACAACAATAACGCTAATCAAAACTACGACGTGAAAAGTAATCAATTGTTGAATCGTCGTTTGCGTCAACAGCCTCATCAGCAATCAGCGAGATATCAGCAGCAGCAACAGCGGCAGAAACAGCAGCAGAATGGAGTAAGTAGTTGCTTCGTATGTGACACTTCCAACCCTGTTCTCAGTCACCCTCCTTCTCATCTCACTGATCCTCACAACTCAAACAATTTAACCTGCTGGGTCTCCGATATACAACCAATCAGAAAAGGGCTTAAATATTTTGATGTAACATCTGGTGACAAGAATGACAACTTCTACCAACAAAAACAAAACCAGCAACAACAAAAATTAAGATACAATCTGCAGGAAACGAACTTAACCATATCACTTGGCAAAAAATTCGAAGTGACCTACGTCAGTTTGCAGTTCTGCCATACAAGACCTGATTCTCTGGCCATCTACAAAAGTTCTGACTTTGGGCAGACGTGGATTCCATTTCAGTTCTTCTCCAGCCAGTGCGAACATGTGTACGGAAGGAAGCCGAGAAATCAAACGAACAAATGGAACAAGCAAGAGGCATTTTGTAGCGAGGATTTCAGTCAAACGACGAACTTTGTAGGCACGTCTAGAGTAGCTTTTAACACGTTGGAAGGCAGATCCAGCAATAACGAATTGGATGCCAATCCCATTCTTCAGGACTGGCAAACGGCAACGGATATCCGAATCGTATTCAACCGACTGAAGTTACCGCTGCTTCCTATGCAACAAGTTCAGCATCAACAAGCAAATTACAACACTAAGCAAGCATTCAACTCGCTGACGAGAACGAAAAGCTTTATTGGGTTGAGGTCATCCAACAGCGGATCTGCCAACAGACCAGCAAGATCCAACCACAACAACAACAACAATAACAACAACTACTACTATAATAATAATAATAATAACTACAAACAAGGAATGCGCAAAAGTACAAGAGATATTTCCCCAACAGCCCAGTTGAACTCCTACTCCTTCTACTCCATGTCGGATGTTGCCATCGGCGGCAGGTGCAAATGTAACGGGCACGCATCCAGGTGTGCACCTGTCGCGAAGAGTAGGTACTCTAAAGAAGTGAAGCTGGTCTGTCAGTGCCAGCACAACACGGATGGAGACGATTGTGAGCGATGTAAACCTTTCTACATGGACCGCCCGTGGAGTAGGGGTGGCAGGACCAACACCACCGAATGTGTCGGTTAGTTGGACCCCCTAAATATATCTATGTTTATTTTGCATTGGTAAATAAATTAAAATTTATAATAAACAAATACTGTTTATTTATTTTTATCGCATTCACCCTATTGGCATGACAATGACATTCCAAAGAATAAAAAAACTAGTACGACATCACAGTAAGAAAGTTCATTGGGATGTTGTGTACCTATACTAACTGCCTGTTTACAGTTCTCTTGGATTCACGTGCAAAACTACTAACATATTGTCAATTTTTCAATGCAATTTTTAATAAAATTTGAATGACTATTCAACTAAAAATTAGAATTCAAGGCCAGTAAAAAAAACATGCTAGTGATTTAATGACCTTTTAATGGATATACGCGAAAATGTGAACAAGTAGATGGCTTCACACCATTAGACACGCACCGATGAAACGAACAACAACATAACAAAAAACAACAGCTGATACATCAACAACATTAATAGCATCAACAACATCGCAGCAGCCACTGAAGCAACTATAACAACAACAACATTACGACATTGTCAAAAAATACAAGAAAAATATAGATTAAAATAAATTGAAATCGAGAAGATAGATTTAATCAACGTAGACAAAACAGATGAAACAAAAATATTTAACTTGAATGATTAGTAGAGTTAGGAAGCTAGGTATGAGAGTTACCAGGTAGCTAGTAGTAGGTCGATAGATTGAATTTCATTCAAGGTGTCCGTTTTAAGAATGTTTCTTATACAAATTATTATACAGACGAACGAACACATATCTACAGATATTATGTTATCATTATATGTTTATACATGTGTATGCCACACACAGCACACACCACACACAAACACAACACACACACTCACACAGCACTTACACACACACATACATCTTTGTATGATCAAAACAAATTTAACACCCAGAAAATTAATTATACGTAAAATACAAATATAAAAACGTACATAAACAATAGAAAAACGATCACATACAGTACACATACACAGAAATACATGCACACGCACAAACACTAATTATTTGTTTGTGCAATTAAATAGATCTGAAAAAACATGTACAGCAGACCAACAAATAAGTGAGCTTGAGCAGCCATAGATAAGACTTGAAAATAAAGTTTAAGAAGAATTATGTAACGAGTTTAAGAGATAAATTCTATGTTGGGTATTGTTAGAGGTAGTGGCTGTAGTAGTAATTTAGTATCTTCTTACGTGAAGTGTAAGAAGTAGTAATTAGAATGGTAAATTACGTGTATGGTAAATGTAAATGAAGTTACAGAAATGTTTGTGGTTTACAAATTATTGTTGCAAGTACGTTTCAATCAAACAAATTTTCATCACACTGGGACAATAAAAATAATTCACAATTCACACATTTTATAGCGCGCTATTTAAAGCGCCGATGAATTAAAAACTCGTTATAAAACCAAGAACAATAACATCAAAAATTTATGACATTAAACAACGACAATAACACCAACCAAAATGACATTAACAACAAAATCGTTTTCATGGTCATAGTCTGCATCTTCATCATAAGCAACAACATCATCATAATCCACTCCATCATCGTCATAATCATCATCATAATCATAATCAGCCTCATCATCATAATCAGCATCATCATCATTAACAACAACGACATCATCGTCTTCTTCAACATCCTCATCAACATCTTTCATGTTGTAACTTTTGCAGTAAAACTTGTGAATTTCTCACATTTTGAAAAATCTCATGAAAAATATTTCAATAGTATGTGATAAATATTTTCTGGAAATTGTAGAAACTAAGAAAAAATATTATTATTATTATTACTATTATTATTGTTAATATTTTGTTATTATGATTGATGGTATTATCATCGTTATCATTGGCCTCATCATCATTCTCATTTTATAATAATCATCATCATAATCATCATCATCATCATACATCACAATCATCATCATTGTCGTCGTCATCACAAACATGATTATTATTCGTGTTGTTTGTTTGTATGTATGCGTGCATGCATGCATGTGTGAATGTGCACGCGTTTATGCTAGGTGTTATGTGAACTTAACAATTTTTTTTGAAGCTAAATAGTTACGTGTAAATGAATTAATAAATAAACGTTTGGACGTACACACATCCATTTATGTTTTGTATATGATTTGTATGTTTTGTGTGTCCTGTTTACATGTGTTGTGTTATCGGTGTGTAAACTATGCATATATTATACATACACAGATTGTATATGTTCTTTTTGAATGTATGTATGCGTATACCTGACGAGGTGTGTGCGTGTGTATGTTTAAAAATGTGTTTTGTACATTAAAGTTTTGTATTGATCTTACAAAGTGCTAAAGTTATACATCGAGGCATACACACACGGACACATTTGCGTGATAAACATAAACGCAAAATGCACTTGTTTATTTAATTTGCACGTACACATATATATACACGTACACACATATGCACGTACACATATACACGTACACATATGCACGTACACATAGAAACACATACAAAAACAATTCTGCGTGCATTGCGTTGTTTCTTATGTATAATGTGTACGTCAGAAGATTTAAATTTAATTATAAATAAATATCGTTCACGACTTGATGGGAAGCTAAATAAATAAACAAATTCAATTAATTGATTAATTAACTAATTAACTAACTAAATAAATTTACGATTTAATGGATAGTTGATTAGCTAATTAAATTGAAGATCATTTCAAAGTCACGCCTGATAAATGACATTTGGTTATTTGATAGCAAATTATATAGTAACAAAAATGTAATGACAAACTCCAGTACAAAACGAAAAATAACAAAGTGACAACCGCATAAAATTGCTCAACAACACAAAAAACTACACAAACAACTACACAACAAAATCAACACAACGACAACAACAAAAGTAAACTCACAACCATTACACAGAAACAACGAACACAGCGTTGTAAAAAAATGAACTATTATAATTAGAAGCCGAAGGCACAATGACGACTCAGTTTACAAAGGACTTTTGGTTCATCCCATCCCATCATCACATCATAGCAGAAATTTCACATTATCACAACATCATGTTCACATCAACAGAAGATATTATCACATCAAGTTAATCACATCATTCCAATATTTCATTACATCAAATTATATCACATTAACTTTTCACCAATTATATCAAATTAAATCGCTCACTTACGCATATTGTATCACTAAATTATGAAAAATTTTAGAAAATAAAGAAATAAAATAAGAAAAAAATATAAGAGAAAGAGACAGAGTAGAAAGAGAGAGAGAGAGAAAGAAAAAGAGAGAAAGAGAGAGAGAGAGAGAGAGAGAGAGAGAAAACACAAAACAATGGCATAATAGGATGAAGTAGTAGCTACAGTGTGGTAGTGGATTAGGAATTATTTACGGAGATTAAAATGTCAGACAACGATTATGACTGCAATTACATTAATTATAACTTTTAAAATATTATAGCGTAAAGATTTTTTTTATAAATCAACCGACTTTTAAAAGTTGAAAAATTGTTTTGATGTTTCAAAATTGAAAGGAGAACGGTGATAAAACAATTTTTTTAAAAGCAAACAAACAAGAGACGACAAAACTTGACTTTAAATTCAAAAATTTACTACTTAGAAAACAAGCTAAACTTTGACAATTGAAATGATCATTAATAAAAATTATAATAGTATTAGTTAAGAGTGTCGACTTTTTCTGTCAAAAAAGTATCGGCGATATCGAGTTTATATTCGCCAAACCGACACCGATACTGAAAAAGTATCGCCGATGCAATATCGACGAAGCCGACAGTTCAAAACTCAAACAGTAGCAGAGGCAGTAGTAACAGTCACATAATAATAGTAGTAGTAGCAGTAGTAGTAGTGAAAAAATTATTATTAGTAGTAGTAATGGTAATGGTAATAATTTTTTAGTATTTTATGAATTTCAGCAAAACTAATTCTATCGAAATGATCGTTTAATTCTAATTTGCGAAACGTGCGCCTCTGAAGCAGCTGGGTAACTGGTCATCTTATTATTATTAATTATTATTTTATTTAATTATAATTATTTAGACTCTTTTAAATTTTTTTCATTTTACCTTCTTCACCTTATTTGAAGTCTCAAGAAATGAAAATATGTTTCCATGAAGTTATTTTGCAGACGAACGAATGGGCAATGAAAACGGCGCGAAAAAAGCGAAAGCTCGCTCATCACAGCCTAATGTGCTGTATAATTGTGGGGGCATGAATGTTCTCGGAAGAACTTGAAGTCCTCTACTGCATTCGTATAATTAAACGCATCCATTGACTTCTTGTGACCTGTGTGAACTTTGCACTTTGCGAACTATCCTACTCATTATCATCATTATTATCATTATTATCATTATTACTATTATTATTTTTATTATCACCATCATCACTATTATTGTTATTATTATTATTATTATTAAATATTATTATTATAATAATTATCAAGGCATTATTATTAATAATAATTCCGTCATCATGGTTTTCATCGTCATTATGGTTAACGCTATCAGGAAATTTATTATCATCATCGTCGCCAAGGTTGTCATCGTAATTATCATCACCATTATTATCACCATTGTAGCCATCATCATTATCATCATCAACATCAAATTCATCGTCAACATCATCGTCATCATCATCATCAAATAGAGCAACGAGTGCCATTTTGTTTTTCAAGTTCTAGATTTTTCTATTTTTGCAATGAAAAATAATGCGTGCGTGGCAGAGAAAAAGAGAGAAAGAGAGAGAAAGAGAGAAAGAAAGAGAGAGAGAAAGAGAGAGAGAGAGAGCGAAAAATGTTAACTAATTACATTTTACATCTGTAAGACAAATCAACGTACTAAGGATGGGTGGATTGATTGATGGATGAATGAATGAATGGTTAGGTTAATAAATAAATAGACAGATAGATGGATGAATGAATGAATGAATGGATGGATGAATGAATGTGGTTAGGTTAATGAATGAATAGACAGCTAGATGGATGAATGAGTGAGTAAATGAATGGTTAAATTGATAAAAGAATGGAAAGATGAACAAATGAATGATTGAAAATAGATGAATGGATGGTGAATGAATGCATGAATAAATAAATGGATAAATGGATGGATATATACTCAGATGGATAGAATTCCCCGATGAATAAATAAATTCAAGCTAATTTAGGTTAAGAACACAAACAAACTTCATCCATATTTACACACCTAACAATTATGAGCAGTTTTTTTTTTCAAAAATTTTTTGAGAAAGATTTTTTAAAAACAATTTTATAATTTCATGTAAATGTTTGTCGGTATTCATAAAATATTATTGCTAATTATAATGTTAATAAAAGAAGAAGAAAGCATATGCATGATGAAAAAAAATTTGATTAATTTAGCACCAAATGAATCAAATAAATTAATTTATATAGCGAAAAACGTCTCAATAAAATACATGCATTTTATTAAAAAATGGTTTTTATTTAAACAAACTTTTAGTTTTCCACGCAATTAACAAGTGCACAATTCAGTGAATTAAATTTTGAAAAGTTTTTTTAATTCTTATTTATTTGCACACTTGAAACAAACTCAAATGAACATTTGATGTCGTTAGGTTTCATTTATGTTTTACATAAATTATTTTTTAAAGTTCACTTTTTTGTTATTAGTACAAAAATTCAAATTAACTTGGCCAATTAATTTGATGGCATTAATTCTGTTAGCTTGTTTAACTTAACGCCATGGTTAATCATTCAATTAATATGTCAATCAATCAGTTGATCATTTATTCAATCAATCATCGATATATCAATCAATCAATCGATCGATCGATCCAATCAATTTATAACCTAACCACCGTGCCAAAAAACAGCGTGCAACTGCAACAACCACTCTAACAAGTGTCACTTCGACCCTGAGATTTTCGCCCTAACAAACAATCAGACCGGAGGTGTCTGCGAGGACTGCCTGCACAACACTGTAGGACGAAATTGTCACCAGTGCCGAAAGGGTTACTACAGAGACCTCAGTAAGCTCTTGACTCACAAACATGCTTGCAAAAGTAAGTACAGATAGATAGATGAGCAAATGGATGAATGAATGAACGAATGATTGATTGATTGAATGGATGGATGCAAAAATGAATGAATGGATAGATGTACAGACGGATAAATGTAAAGATGAATAGTTGGATGGAAGGAATATTTTATAAATGAATAATTTATCATCCCCATCTTCACTATCGTCGATCATTACTATCGTATCATCATCGTCGTTGTTGTCATCGTCATCAACATCATGATAGTCGTCATCACCACGTCAATCTCAATGTGTCTAACAAGAATGTGCGTGTTCATCTGCATGTATACAATATCCACGAAGTTCGTTGATGGATAGAAATCGTTTGGCTGTTTGGTTCTTTTTGGTCCTACGCTACTCACGCACACACACACACACACACACCACACACGCACGCACACACACACAAACACACACACAGTATACTAAAAGAAAACGTTCGTTCAGTTGGTTGTTCGTATGCGATGATTGAATTACATGTTTGTTACTTCTTACTTGTTAACACTGGTTGATTTCCCGTTTATTCGTCTGTTTGTTCGCATGTTTTCTCGTTCGTTTGTCTTTTTTGTTCGTTCGTTCGTTCTTCATGTTCATCCGCACGGTGCAGCTAATTATAAAATCATGCCGAATTTCAAACTGCTCCAAAATGAGACGTTAAGTTGGAACAAAATGACGAATTGTCGGTTGATTGCGAGCAGAAAAAGTCAACTAAATTTTTTTTATTAATGTAAAGATGATTCATTCATATTATTTTTTGACATAAAGTCGGTAAAAAAAATGGTCTGCCTTCTAGGAGTATTAAACCTAGTATAGTAGGCAAAGAATTATCAAATGGTGACCTGGCACTACGTATCAGCGTTACAATTATAAATGGAATAAAGTCGACATTTTCCAACGGCTCGTGAACCTTTCCGTAATAAATTTAAATCGTCTGATTCATCTTTTTTGAGCGCTATATGAATAAAATTTTTGTTGACGAAGAAGAAAAATGAAAATAATAAAATGCACTTGGAGGAAATCATTAGAGCAGCGGAGTAGAATAGATATGTTAACCTATTAAAGTTGCTTCATTATCAGCACATCACCATTGTCTGTCTGCAGCGCCATCATCGTCGTCATCATTGTCTACAAAGGTCATCATTCATTATCATTTTATCGCTATCGTCATCATCGGCGTCATATCACTATTTTTGTCGTATCCATTCTTGCCAACATTACCATCATCCGTGTCATCATGATCGTCATCACCGTCAATTCTAATATTATCACCATCCACCATCATTATCATCTTCTTCTTCTTCTTCATCATTGATGATACAACGTGATAATGAGAAATGACGTTTCCTTCAAAAGCCCAGTTTAAATTAAACCAAAATTATTCTTAATAATAATGTTCATTTGTTCGTTGGTTCATTCATTCATTCATTTATTTGTTCGTTTATTCGTTCGTTTATTCGTTCGTTTATTCGTTCATTCATTCATTCGCTCATTTCTTGATTTGAATATTTGACAAAATGATTGGTTGCTTGTTGGTAATTTTAACTGAGTTTTATTACTTCGCCTGTCTTGGATTCGTAATCACATCTCAGCAAATCTTTGAAGTAAGTATCGCGTTGAGTTTGCAAAGAAAAAAGTTTCAACTACGTTTCATTCAAAAATTCAATTTCACAATTCACCACCACCATTTAATTTCGCAATTCACCGCCACTACCACAACAGAGTGTCATTGTCACCAATCTGGGTCAGTTGAAAGTTCATGTCACCCGGAAACAGGTCAGTGCCCCTGCAAGCCCGGAGTCACAGGGTTGACCTGCAACAGGTGCGCGCCCGGGTATCAACAGTCAGAATCTATTCTCAAGCCATGTGTTTGTTAGTGTTGTTGTTGTCGTTGTTAGTGTTGTCGTTGTTGCTGTTGTTGTTGATGTTGTATGCGTGAATACATACAATTAAATACAGATATACGCACGTATCTTATGTATCTATTCAGTATCTGTGTTTGTAGAATGCGTGTTAAATGCACGCTAATGTTTTTGTACCAGTTTATGAGGTTGAGTGGGCTGGGCATCCAAGTGCATTCAATTGTATTTTTAAAAACTGTGAGTTTGTATGTGTCTGTCCGTTTGTATATACATATACAACATATACAAACATACGTATATAGGTATGTATGTGTGTTTATGTTGGCTTGTATGTATGTGTGGTGTGTGTGCAAGCGGTCGTGCGTGTGTGTGGTGTGTGTGATCTAAAAATTGTGGTGGTGGGACAGTAGAATGATGAGATATAAGATGTTAATTAGTTGTGGGATTGATGAGTTTTCATCCGGCTGTATCGATGAGGAGTAGATAAACAGTGAGTGTGATGTTTTTAGTGGAAGCGCTTAACTGGCTCCCATACTCTCCTCCGATGCACATCATCATCGCCACCACCACCACCACCACCACCATCCTCCCCATCATCTTCCTCATCATCGTCTATCAAATTTTAAAATCTGCTTTTCAAATATCTAAATGACGTTATTGAACTAACAATTAAGAGTTATAAAGATCAACCACACGCGCGCACACACATGCGCACACACACACACATATACACATGCACACTAAGATGGTTCCATTACTTTTCCATAGCATGTTGTTTACAGTTGGTGTTGGAATCGATTTGTGTTGAATTAAACAATTCTCTTTAATTTGACTGCATGCTGTGCGTGCATTTTACATTTCTATTTATACATTACATTCTTTGTATGTTTGTATGTATGTGTGTATGTGTGTATGTATGTATGTATGTATGTATGTATGTATGTATGTATGTATGTATGTATGTATGTATGTGTGTGTTTTTGTGTGTGTTTGTAAGTGTTTTTGTGTGTTTTCTCGTTTTATTGTATGTTTTTGCTTTTTTTAATTATTTTTAACTGTATATGAGTGTTTGATGGATATGTGTAAATGTAATTTAGTGTATGTATATGTGTGTGTGTTTGTATGAATGTATGTATTTATTTGTTTCAGTGGATACATTTATGTATGTATGTGTGTGTGTGTATGTGTGTGCATTTATAAGAGGTGAATGAAATTCAATTAATCAACCAATTTAGACATTGACGAGCATATTGTTTATGAGATTAGCAGTTTGGCGTGTGTGTGTGTTTGTTTGTGTGTGTGTGTGTTTGTGTGTGTGTTGTTTGAAATGTGAAGTGTGTGGTGTGTGTGGCGTACGGCTGGTCTGTAGTATTTATTTTGTTGTGTCATCTAGCAATTGAACGATCACTAAAAGTGATAAATGATGTCAAAATTTAATTCGTCGTGGCGTCGTGTCGTTTCACACCACCGGGCACACCGCAACGCGCTTGCATTACATACAAACCAAACGCATTCAAAAAACACAAACCTGGATGAAAAACACACACATACAACACACACACACAGACATACATACATACATACATACATACATACATACATACATACATACATACATACATACATACATACATACATACATACATACATACATACATACACACACACACACATACATACATACATACATACATACATACATACATACATACATACATACATACATACATACATACATACATACATACATACATACATACATACACACATACATACATACATACATACATACATCTTTCTTCTTTCAAAATCTTTCAAAATTTGTTGTCTTCATGCGGCGACGACTTTTCCACCGCTCGTTTGTTGGCCATGTCCAGCGTTGCCAGCTGTGGGTGGTTGAGATCGTGGCCCAACACCTCTGTGGGCACCAGGCTTGACGACGAGTCTGTGAGATTTGCCATTGGCTTCAAACTTGGCCTGGTCATTCAGAATAAATACACGTGCCGATGTGGCGCTGGGGCGGACGAGTTTGGGCACCACGGTTTGGTTTGTCGCCTGGGTGGGGGCCGTCAACTACGTCACTCAGCGCTAAACGATTACATTTTTCGGCTCTTCTCCAAGGCTTCAATCCCGGTTCTCAAGGAACCATCCGGCATTTCCGCGCATGATGGTAGGCGCCCGGACGGATGCACACTAATACCTTGGAGAGCCGGCAGATGTTTGGCGTGGGATGTTACGGTCCCTGGCACCCTCGCCGAACGATACGTAAACCTGACAAGTAAAGAATGCGGTTTGGCCGCGGCCAGGGCAGCGGACTAGAAAATGAAAAAATATGGGAACGCCCTCCCCTCGATGGAATTCTTGCCAATATGCATCGAGGTTCTTGGCCCGATGGACCCCAACACCCTTAAATTTTTTAAGGAAATATGCAAAATGATCAGCGTCAGATCAGGCGACAGCAGGGAACTGTTTTTCGCAACTAACCACATTTCGTGCTTGTTGCAGCGGTTCCTGCGTGTCTGTGTGCTTGAAAATATCCAACTGAATGCCGACATGTGCAATTAACGACAAATCAAAGTGTTAATCCATTTGGTACTTGATGTTTGACGGTTCAGTGTCACTCATCATGTTTTGGTTTTAACATACATACATACATACTTCACGATTTTGGCATTGCTGGAACTGTTATCAAGTGGTTCGACTCCTATTTGACTGGAAGGACTCAACAGGTATTTTTCAAAGGGCATCTGTCTAGTGTAAAAACAAAGTCATCCGGAGTGCCACAAGGTTCAATACTTGGACCTATTTTGTTCATACTGTATACAGCTGATGTATTTAATGTAATTGATACTTTTGGTTTTTCTTATCATGCATATGCCGACGACATTCAAATAATAGTCAGCAGTGAACCAGATCAGTTCGAAAGTGCAGTTGAAAAACTAATAAAATGTTTGGCTGAAGTTGACACATGGATGTCAAAAAATTGTCTAAAACTTAATCAAAATAAATCACAGTTTTTACCAGTGGGCACCTGGCAGCAGCTATCAAAAGTAAAAATTGATTCAATAATGATTGAAGATAATGAGATAAAATTTTGCAAGAAGGCTACCAATTTGGGATGTATTTTTGACACTAAATTAAAACTTTGTGACCACATAAAATCGCAATCTAAATCATGTTCAGCACAACTTCAACAAATATACCGAATAAGAAAATATATCATATCGTCTATTGATAGGATGTACATTATTTCACTGTTCGTTTATTATTTTTCTTTTTTCGATAGCGCTTGTGAGAGATATTTATTTTAATAGGCGCTTTATAAGTGTTTGATAATAATAATAATAATAATAATACATACATACATACATACATGCATACATGCATACATGCATACATACATACGAAACGAAACGAAACGAAATTTTATTTGCTTCTCAAAATTAAAAATTAAAAGAAAGCAGGATGACCATAATAGAATTTATAAAAAATTCGTCTAGTATGGCCACCTAAACAGAAATGTTCTTTGTTCATACAAAAGTTTTTCAACAAATAATAAAAATTTTCCCCAAATGATCTATGAGAGGCATGTTAGATGTTAGTTGTTAGTAAATTAACGAACTCAACTATGTTAGCAAAACAGGTGTTAGTTGTTAGTACGATGGTTCACGGTTTA